AATTTTTTGTACTTATATATTTTAAAATACTACGAAAAATAGTATGAACTAAACATACTCTCCAAAAAGTAAATTTCGGATATAGAGTAGTGAATTATTTTTAAAAAAAATTAAGTTGCATATTTATTCCAATTTATGCATGAAGATACATCGATCGGTGCTCTCTGGATGCATCCAAACTCCAGTGAATGCCTTTAAACTAAATTCTAATTAAAGTAGTATCCAAAATAATAAAATACTACTCGTATAAAAACACATCAATATAATTTCGCTAATAGCAATTAAATTTGAAGTTTTAAAATATGCATAAATAGTAATTTAGTTTAAAAATATAATTAGTATAAAGAGTATAATTGGCATAAATAAGTGTATTCAGTAAGCCAATGTTGTAAACCTCCCCTGAGGTTTCTCTTCATTTCGCCTGACACCCCTAAAGTTTTAAAAATATCACTAACATACCTTACTTTTGTTGTTTGTGTAGCAAGATTTTTAAATATCCTAACTACCCTTTTGCTCGCTAGATAGGAATATTCGTAAACCACTTTGTTTATTTGAAAAAAAACTATCATCATTTACATGGTATTTCTTTTGTATTACTACTATATCATAATGCTATACAATCACGGATAAAACTGTAAATTTGAAAAGAAAAAATGATATTGAAATCAAGATGCTATTGAAATTTGTTTGGATAGAGTGTTATTTGAAATATTATTTGGAATAATTACGATAGTACATTTTGTGATATGATGTATGTAAGATAAAAAGGTGATTAAAAATATAAAAAGGTGGGTTAAAAAATGTGTTTATGATGCAAGCGAAATATTATTTGAAAAAATATGCTATCCAAACACTTCGAAACAAATAGGGAGCTAATAGGGGCCATAGGTCCCCTCTTCCCAAAGTTTTAAAAATTTTAATTCATATTGTGTAAAACAAAGTTAGCCTCCTAATTTTTTATAATTTTAGTTTATATTATGAGAATATATATATGTATGTATGTGTGTGTGTGTGTGTGTGTGTGAATTAACTACCTTTGAATTAATTTTTTAAAAAGTTATTTATTTTTTGCATCCCTTTATAATTTGTGAATGATTGTGAGAGTAAAATATATTATGACAATAAGATACGTTGAATTGTGAAAATTGTAATTTAAATAGTCTCCTAAATGCAAATTTCTTAAATTAATAGTTGATAAATGTCAATAATAAATGTGAGATGTGAATTTTACAATGGTGATTATTATCTATTAGTTAAAGTTTAGGAGTTTGAATTTTATGGGTTAGTGAGAAAAACGTGGAAAAATGTGGGAAAAACATGAGCATGATTATAGGATTTGTAGGAGCGGTTACATGATTAGTTAAAAGATAAACATTTCTTAATTATAAAAATGTAAAATTCTATTAAAATAGCATTCAGGCTTTTGACAATTTTGAAAGCTCCTTATCCAAAACCCCCTCTGTAATACATATAGATATAGATGCTTTAGTAACGATAGTTATGATAGCGAAATAGTTTTTACCTAATATAATAGATTGTTACACTTTTAGCGAACATTTGATTTGTCGTTGGACCTATTCACTTAAATAGAATAATACCTAAAATTATGGAAGTAAGTTTCCCATCTAAAATAGTAAGTTAAGCCTAATAGATTAGTAACTTTTATACCTCAAAAGGTAAATTGGAATAAATATTAAACTTAATTTTTAAATAAATAGATTACTACTTTATATCCCAAGCTTACTTTTAAAAGAGTAAGTTTAGTTCAAATAATAGTAAGTTTTTATACATAAATAATAATTCTTACTAATAACATGGTAATAAAAATGATTAAGGATCAAAATTTACTATTTTTTGGAATACATGTACAATTTTTACATTAAAACCTTATCTCAAAGTAGTATTAGGAAGTTTATTTGAAATAATGATAAGATATTTTATTAATGATTAAAACTTAGTACCTTAGTTAATAAGTACTCATAATATACCTGTATAATAAATAATAATAGGTATAATTTAACAAACCAGGTTTACGGGTTTTATTTAAAATAAAGTAATAATTTATTCATTATAAATTTAACACCTGAGGTTGGAATCCATAATTTATTCATTATAAATTTAATGTCTAAATTTATTAAATTCTTCATTTTATATGCCTACAGTGTTTAGCTTCTCCGCCAAGCTTCGCGCCTTTTTTCCTTGTCCTTACTTTTGCGCAAGACCTTCTCACTTTGCCAGTTGCTCAATTTAGGCACTCCACATTTCACATTTACGGTTGGAATCCCCTTCAATGCCCAACTATCTTCAGGTTGCAAGTCAAAAAGTTATTTACACGTGTCCATCCAATACACTTTTCCTATTGTTTGTGGCCACAATCATACCGCAGCAACTTTCCACACCTATTTTTTGACTAGTAAACATACCGCAGCAACATTCGAAACATAAGATGCAACATTCACGAAATACAAGTCTGGGGTAATTTCTGTAGTGCATTCACAAAGTTGGAAGATACGTGTGGAAAGCAGATAATATGGCAAAGAAGCCTCCACGTTGCAACCTGACAAGTACGGACCCGAAAGGGAATAATTCCAGAAAAGGAAGTGATGACCTATAACCGCGGTTTGGACATTGGAAATGTAGCGTACTGCACAAGCTGGAAATGCATTGGGGTGAAACGGAATTAACATAAATATAATGGGCTAAGGAGTAAAAATAAACCCGTAACTTTATTAAAACAACCCCAATTTTCAACTCTTTCGTCCATAATAACAACGGAATAACCCATTTTCGTTGAATACAAATGTTAGCGATTGCACAATATCATATTTAAATGCATTTTTCAATAAAGAGCCAACTCTTTATGGCTTTCCTGGACTACAACTAAAGATTAAATCCATTTTGAGGACCATTATTATATTCAAACGTGTGTCTCAGTTCAAAAGTTTCAGCTCCCCTTGGCTTTTTTCCATTACAACAACATAATACCCAAGGTGCCATAAAGACAGACTGATTTATCGGATAAAATGCAATTAAACCCGTTGGTGAGTAAAAGACCAGCTCTTTGTGCCTTTCAACCATTACAATGACAGAGTACCCAACGTGCCTTAAATACAAATGTTGGGTTATGGGATAAAATTTAGTTAAAACGGTTGTCTTATAAACGACCAGCTCTTTACGGCTTTCGTCCATCAGACAGTTAGGAGAACCCAATTTCGTTGAAAAAAAAATAATTTATCGGAAAGCATAAAAATTAACACGCCGGTGTCGGTTCTGTTGTATAAAACACCGAAGACGAAGCGTAAACGGTACTAAACAAAGCCATAGTGGGGCCACCGAAGAGGAAGCGTATTAGGTACTAAACACAGAGCCATGTTGGGGCCCGCGGTGATGCGTGTGTTTGAAGACAGGTGGCGAGGTCGGAATGGAAGGCACAAATTTGGTAAAGAGGTGGTGTCTACTGGCGTAAATTCAGGCGCAGGCGGTGACGGTAGATATATCTGAGGAAGGCCCTTCCGAAGCTGTGGTGACAGACTGCAGCGGCGTGGAACAGAAGCAGAGAAATCAAAGGTGAGTACTTTTGTCCATAACTTTGAAAAATGGATTAGAATAACGAGTAAAGTACGTCTAGTAGGGTGATTTCTACAGTTCTTGTAAGAGGCAATGATAGAGGAATAAGGACTACGAAATACGGGGTGTAAGACCCTGCGTCTTCGAACAAAGATGAAACGAAATCGGGATATTATCGTAGTTTGTTTGTGCACCGAGCTTTGTGTACGTACGTAAGAAATGTTGGTCCTCTAATTTGTATTAAATTGTGTAAAGGAAATTAAGCAGAAATGAGTGAAGACGTGAAGAAGACGTTGTAACAGGACTAAAGTCTTAAAACAGAGTGATTTGGATGGCCGTGTGGACATGGATAATGGCCCCCATACTGCATTGCGAATGCTTATGTGAAAAGAATTAAAGAAACACACAGTAGAGGTTGAGTTTGTGGGTGTTAATGAAAATGCATGTCGATAGTGGTATTTTATGCTAAAGGTTGATATAATTGCATCAGCCACACTTATAAAAACTGTGTATATGAATGTTAGAGTAATGTTTATCGGTTGCATTTTGTGAAAGTTGTGAGGTAAAGTATGGTTTGTTAACTGAAATGATCGTGTATATATGTTTTGTTCCATTAGTAGACGAGCAGTATTTATGTTACAAACGAAAGCATATGGGGAGGCTAAAAAAAAAATGTTAAGCGACCATGGTTAGAAAAAACATTGAACAACCACACAGGGGTTGTAACTATGGGGCAGGATGGGGCGCTTAAAACTCATGACATGGTGCAGGAAATAGAGAACGGATAAATGGGGTTGGATGTTTGCGGCAGGTTAAGGTCATTTGACCTTAACCAAGAACCTGAGTGTGACCGAGACACATTCATTGAAGAAAGCGGTGGTTCAATAGGAGGACACGAAGATGAGGAGGCAGATGAATTGGTGGGCGCAATAGGCGTGGATGACGTAATGAAATTAACATTTGACACGGAAGAAGAAGCTGGGGAATTCTATAATTTGTATGCGAAACTAAGCGGATTTGGGATTCGTAAAAGTAATGTCACACGAGATGCACATGGCATTTCAAGATTTAGAAAATGGGTATGTTGCTGTGAAGGTTATAGGAATGAAAAGTGGTTTAATTATGAAGATCGGAAAAGAGAAGCAAAACCAATCACAAGAACCGGGTGTGGGGCTTGCTTTCGCGTGAAATATCACATAGAATCGGTAAAGTATGTGGTGACACGTTTCATTATGGAGCACAATCACCCGCTGGCATCAGAGGCAAGTGTGCAACACATTAGGTCGCATAGAAAAGTGAGCGATGCAGAATATGCGCAGGCAAAAAGTCTAAAGTTGGTTGGGGCCAGAATATGCTAGATAATGAAACATTTTGTTATCAAAGCCGGAGGGTATAGTAACGTGGGATTTTGCATTAAGGATTTGTATAACCGAATGGACAAGGAACGTAGAAAAGATATTTTTAATGGCGATGCAGAAGGGGCACTTGGGTTCTTGGCAGCGAAGAAGGATGCCGATGACATGTTCTTTTATAAATATCATGTAGATAACGAAGGAAGATTGGCAAGGTTGTTTTGGGCAGATTCTAAATCTCGTGCGGACTTCAGTGTATTTGGAGATGTATTGGTGTTTGATACAACATACAAAATAAATAAATACCGCAAGCCACTAGTTGTACTTGCAGGGGTAAACAACCATTTGAACAGTACTGTTTTTGGCTGTGCACTGCTGTCAGATGAGAGGATTGAAACATATGAATGGGTGCTAAGTACATTTGTATAGGCTATGAAAGGTAGAAAGCCAGTAGCAGTGATGACAGATGGGGACAGTGCAATGCGAAGAGCCATAAAGAATATTCTCCCGGATGCTTGTCACAGGCTATGTTCGTGGCACTTGCATAGAAATGCACGGAGTAATATTCGCTGCGAGGAGTTTAATAACAGGTTCTATAACCTGATGGCGAGAAAGTGTAGCACTCTTGAGTTTGAGGATCGGTGGGCTAGGTTGGTTAATGAATGTGGGGTGGTAGAGAATGAGTGGGTGAAGAAGTTGTACCGTAGGAGAAGGTTATGGGCAGAGGCCTATTTACGCGGTAATTTTTTTGCAGGTATGAGAAGTACTCAAAGGTGTGAGAAAATGAATGCTTTTTTGAATGAGTACTTGAATGAAAAAATGCGACTATATGAATTCGTTAGAAGTTTTGATTTGGCAATAGCATGGCTTCGACATACTGAGAGCAAAGCAGTTCACACAAGCGAAAACACAAAACCAGTCTTAACCACAATCCTGCCCGAATTAGAGGGGAGCGCAGCGGAGGTGTTTACAAGGAATGTGTTCTTCATGGTGAGGAAGCATTTGAACAGGCAAGAACTTCTAATTTCTGAGGGCTGGAGCGAGGATGGAGGGAGTCGTACATATTATTACTCGAAATATGGTGGACACGAAATAAGTTGAAGGGTGGATTATGATAGGTCAACGGAGAAGCTAATCTGCTCTTGCATGAAATTCGAGTCAAAGGGGATTCCTTGTGCTCACATGTTTCGCGTGATGGTGGTAGAAGGAATGAACAGGATCCCAGAAGCATGCATTTCGAAGCGGTGGACAAAGGGAGTTCACTGTACTAATAATGGAATGAAAGCATTTGTTGCAGACGAACAGTTGACACAAATGGCCAGATATGGCACTTTAAAGTCCAGCTGTAATACTATGTGTTACTATGCCTCCTACATGGATGATGCATTTAATGACCTGCAACAGATGTTTGACAAGCATTCTGTGGACCTAAAGGAGAAGTGGATTGATAGGGGATATGGGGGAGATGGATTTGCAATGGATTCAAGAGTGAGGAACGATAGAAGTAGAAGAACATTCGGGCTGTTAGATCCCAGGGTGTCCCGGTCTAAAGGTGATCACAAGCATGCAGAAGCAAAGAAGAAAAGAAAGTGCGGTCATTGCAGGTACTATCGGAATTGCATACGTAGTTATACAGTAGTTAATTGATAAAATACATGAAGTGGACAGTGAAGGTAATAATGAAGAAGTGGGTATTTTTCGTTCTTATTAACAACAGTAGTAAATAAACACATAATTAAAAGTGCATACAAAGTATACAAACTTATTGGCAATGCAAGAAAGTTGAAGTGGTGTAATGTTAGCATTGTGCTCAGTTAACGTGATTACTTGCAGTCACAAATGATTTGACATGTGATATATGGGTTGAAGATTGCAGGCAGGCCACAACCAACGAACATGCCCATACAAAAATAATTCGCACAACACAGCAGTTCATGATGATTATATGGAAAAGTGTTTGGATGACTCGCTGGAAAAATCATTTGAAATTGGTACGGGCTGGAGCGACTCAGGCGAATGGAGAGGACAAGCATTTGTAGCACAACCATTCGGTAGCGGTGGAAGGGACACAGGTGGCCAACAAAGAAGTCCAGGAGAAAGATGAGGCACTACTGTTGTGATGCTTCGGTTTGCAGTTACGCAATAAATAAGGCAGGTTTTGGTGAGTAGAGGTGCAAGAGTAGTCTTTCCATGAAACAAGTACGAAATTGTAGAAGGGGAAGGGTTTGTATCTTTCCTTCGCATTAATTTGTCTTGAGCATGAGAAGGCTACAAGGTATTCGTGAATGCGGGGAAAGCTGGGTATAGTGTTTAAAAAAATTTGATTCCGTTACCCTTGAAATGTAAATAATGTAAGTTTGAATGTGTCATGGGCCATTGTAAGCTGTTATCACCACAGCCACTGAAAGGTAGTAAACAGTCATTGTACTGATGCAGTACCTGTTGCTAAATGGCTTTGTTGTTCTTATTTCACTGCTGTTGCGTGTGTAAATCCTATTATATATTCTTCTAGGTGTGAAATGCAGAGATTGAAAGAGATGGTATGGTTGTGCATGGAAGCAGCAGCCGTGACGACAGACAGGTTACAGAGCAACACCGGCTTTAGGGATTGTGTTTTGTTATGTATCGGTGGGGTGAAGAGTATTCAAGGTTGCTAGGTGTAGATGGGTAAGTCATTGTAGTTCCACCGAAGGGGTCATGCACAGAAGGATCACCAGATGCATGACTGTCAAGGTTGCGTCGTAAGCACTGCACTGGTTAATAGGAGAGTAAGTAGTTGACAAATTGTTTATTAGACGAGCCAAACTTGTTCCTGTTTTTGTAAATACGAAATTAAGTGGAAGCGTATGTTGCGCAAAATCTCTTCGTGGGATAGACGTTTTCCGAAGTGGCTACTTGGGAATCAGCTTCAGTTGCCCAGCTTTTGTAGACTGGTGCCGTACGCTGCTGCTATAAACTGCTTTTACGATTGGGCTGTTTGTTCCTCGCCTTGCTATCCTAACCAACGACCGTAAGGCCCAACGCCTTTTCTTTTGCCCATCGTTCCATTAATGTGTAGGAACAGTAACTTATGTTTCTCCCCATCTATTTTCATTGCTCACAATGCTTATGCGTCTCTTCAGTGCACCAATAACAATGGTATTATTACTTATATGTATTATATATGTACATTAATTTATGTAATATAATTAATATTATGAATTATACTACTAATTATACATATTTACTAATAGAAATTATTAATTAGTTCGAGTAACTTTACTATTACATTTGTACTAATATATTTAATTAGCCAATAACTATCAATTACAATGTGGTTTGTAATATATTTATTAGGGATAATTTAAGAAACCTCCCCTAGATTTCTGACACTTTCACTGGCACCCCCTGAAGTTGTCAAAATTTGACTGACCTCCCTTGCCTTTGAGTTATTGGCTCCCTTAGCTGACATCATGAAGGCCAAAATTACAAATATATGGTATGAAGTTGGGATTAATTACTGATGTTGGGGTTTATTATTACCGTTTAGTCGGAGAAAAGGGAATCTACAGTGAATAATGAAGCCTAACAACAATAACACAAACTGTGAGAGTAATACATGAAGTAAAGCTGGATGAGGGAGTAAGGCACCTTTTTTGTGCCATTATTGTGGGTGCTGTTTCAGTTAGAAATGTTTTTGAAATGCCATTCAAAAATTTTGTTCAGTAATTTCTTTTGAAAAAAAAATGGTAGGTTATCTACGTAATATATGTAAAAAATAGTTTAAAAAGGAAATATCCCATAAAGTACCAACTCTTTATGGCTTTTCTGTATTACATGAATGAAGTACCACGTTTTGTATGAAGCTTTTATTATAAATCATTTAATTTTCATAAAAATTTGCAAATAAAATTCAAAATCCGTTACAGAGACATCTTTACGAAAGGAAAACTAGCATTTTTTGAATTATTTAATATAAATGAAATATTTTAAAGTAAACAAAAAAAATTGTTTGCTATAATATACCAGTTCTTTACGGGTTTGTTCCATTATATGAATTAAGTAGTAGATGTTTAAGAGTAGTTGACTTCGAAATAGAAGCGCAACTTTGAAATACGCTATTTTAATTTTAGTAAATTTGTTTATATATGAAAAATTGGTTAACTAGCGCAGTGAATTCAAAGCCTCCTTATGTATCGGGTAAAAAAAGTACTCCAGGTCTGCACTAAAACACCAGCTCTTTATGCCTTTTCTCCATAAATCATCCGTTTTCCCATTTTTCCACAAGCTAATTCAGGGGATGTTTCTAAAATTAGCCCTTACAATATATATGTGTATGTAAGATTAATAATGTATATAATAATAAATATGTTTATTATTATGCATATAAGGTTGCAAAATGATTTAACTTAATATCCTATATACGTTATAACTGTGTAAAATATTAGTTATTTAGTATTTATATATATTATGTAATTATAGATACATATTTATAATTTCTTTGAGGGGGTTTACTGTCGGAAAAATGTGCAGTAGGAGCTTAGTCTCGGAAATTTGCAGAGGAAGTTGTTGAAGTGAAAGAAAAAGGGAAATGTGTCTTGTGCACAAAGTAACGAAACAGAGCTGAAAACGATTAAATTTTTTTACACCATTTGTACATTTCCAATGGAGTACAATATTTCACGTAACTAGTTTGCACAAACTTGAACTCATATTCTTGTGTTGGAGTTGCATTCATACAAAAGGCTTTTCTGTCATGATATAAATAAGTTCGCAAAATGTAATGCATTAAATGTGATAGATTTATAATAACAACAACTTTCATTTAAATTGTTTTGTTGTAAATATTTAATTTCACTGCAAACTTCAATTGTAGGTGAAGAACAATCTGGGACAGACGAAAAATAAGAACAGGACTATAAATTAGTTGTGGGAATTATCTGTCAACTGTTAACATTTTCCGTGTTCAAGTTTAAAATTGTATCAGAATTACGCAACACACGTGGCGATTGGTCACAGCTTAGCTTTGTTGGTGGGCACTACCAAAAAGTTTGCATATTCATTCGTCCGGCTACACAACGTTGTTTGCGGTTTGGGGCCATGGGTGCTCAGTCTTTGGCATTATGAATTCCCTGACATTCGTGAGCTTTGGGTCTACCAAGCTCATCCGTAAATGTCTGCGTCCCGGCACTTGTGTTCGGACGCTTACAAACACAGGATTTCCGGCCACCAAGTTCACCGCGAAGGCAGCGTTTCGCTGTCCCCTTTTGGAGCTTCAATGCACTTTCCAAAATTACCTGTATTTGATGTAGCCTTTGGTCCACCACTTGTGAGTTGTCCGACACATTGGATGCCAAACGAAATATTTCTGCACTTTTTTCTAAGACTTTCTTTCTCAGGCCCATGCACTGAACAAGCAGGTCCTCGTACCAGTGTCTAGGCACCTAAGCGGAAACAACACAGATGGTTGTATTAATTTTACACAAATTGCGCAAATTAAATGGCGGGTGAAGTACAGGGCGAAGAATGCCATACCACATCACCAACAGCACATGGAAGAGGCAACCCTATTACATCGCCACCAACTCTGTGAATGCCCTCTTGCTCCAGTGATCCATCAGTTTGTATGCACAACACAGACCAGGGAGGGTAATTAATTGGATGTTTCAGTGACGGTGTTGTGGCCTCACTTAGTGGCAACTGGTCACATATATGAATTACGCACTCCTTCCCACTGGGTGCCAACGTGGAGGAAGTCATTGGTTTCATTAGCCTGCTGCGCACAAACTCGTCATACGTAGCATATGGAGGGGGATCTGGGTATAGGCCTGCAATGGGCAGTCCACGAAGCACATCATGTAGCCTGTTTCCCGAAATTGTATCAGTGCTGTACATATCTGATGGCCGATGGGGAGGTTGCTTTGCACATACACCTGCATACACCTGCCTAATAACCCTCTCGCCCAGGTAGTAAAATCTTCCCATGGGGCCATCCAAAAGCAATCTCGTTGCAGTTAGTTCCTTGGATTTGAGATACCGACTCGGCAATGCCATTGCAGGGAAGGGCAGCCAGTTCACCTATGACACACAATTAACAAGCGATGTAACATTGGTTTGTTCGA